TCTTTTTCCATTAGAAGCCGACATTGTCCCTGATGAACATAGGCTACTTTTTTTTTAAAAAAAAATATTTTATTTTTTTGGTTTCATGTGTGTTTTAATGTTTCCGAAGCGAAGCGAGGGCGGGTCGCTAGTAAATAAATAAAGACAAGATACAAGACGTGAGTGGCACGGCTCATTTTGAGTCGTGGAGTGAGATTTCATTTGCATCGGTACAATGGCGTACGTGCGTATTTTTGTTTGGAACCAGAAAACAAGTTTACTTCGAGTCTGATACAGGTAAGCTTGCAATATGACCTAGCAAAATAGGACCTGTATAACTCCATAATTTATAACCTTAATTAAGTAGGAGAATAGGTGCTGTTACTGCTGATGAGGAAGTAACAGTAGTAGCAGCGCGAGGGAGCTTTTTATTAAGAGCTTTGTAATGTTTTCCGTGTCTGAAGCTTTGCGTCGCGTCAGTCGATGTCGGTCGTCCGAATCGAGCGGTCGTGTGCTCGACTCCGACTACTACGCGGAAGTTAATTTACTTTAGTTGTTCTAAACATTCAAAATCGGAAGACATTTTCAAGAGCCAATAGATTTCTGGTCTCAATCTAAATGAATATTAATTACTACGTACCCTGAAAGAATAGTGATAAAGTTTAAATTAATTGTATATTTTTTGGATTAGAGCTATTTTGTTGTTCCTTACAATATTGTATTTGTTATGAGCATAATTTTAATCAGTGATCAGCACGAACTGATACCACAAGTGTGTAGCCTCTTGTTCACAAGCCACGACTTACGTTGTTATCTGACATTTAAAAAAAATACCACCTTTTTGTAATATTTTGTGGTGACAGTATCGTTTATATTAAATATCGATCGTCCTGCTCATTCCTACCGTAAAACGCTTTTAATTTGAAAGGTGGGATAGCCGTTATCACATAGTCGTTATACCGGCCGCATAGCCGTTATACAATTGAGACTTGAATCCCAATATGTCCAAAAGATTTTTGAGCTTATCCCAGCGAGACTTAAAAAAAAAAACAAATACACTCTACCGCACACACACATGCACACAAAATAGTCACTTATACATGACACTCACACACAATCTCACAAAGAATACGTGCAATTTTTAGAGGGGGTCGTCGCCCGAAGGTGTCCTACGGGCGTCCCTTTATTTCCGTTTCCGTTATAGTTAGGCGGGCGGGCCACTTCCGCTGGCGTATCGCTTCCTGTGCTATTCTGTATTATTGCGAATTCACAAACGTGATTGGTACAGTTTTTTTTGTGACTAAACGGTAGATAGAATAAAGTCGATTCTGGTACAAACATTGGCATTAAACCGTATAAGCAGTAGTCATTGACAGTAATGGACTCGGTAATATCTTGGTAATCACAATTAAACAAAGATACTTAATCTGACCTAGAATCGAATCGATATTACATCAACGAGGGGCTTTGTTTGCTGCCTGCGGAGATTAAACTGACCTGGACATTAAATCTCCTCTTTGGTCCAGTAGTTAGCGTTTCCGACTGCTGTGAAACTCATGTTGGGTATAACAAACCGGCCGGGATCATTTAAATAGAACCTTTAAGATGTTTGGTATAGAAGCGATATCCGCGTGCTAGCTGTGCTCGTCTCGTATGTGATGTTCCCGGTGCATATAACAAACACAGTCTGTTTAGGTTTTAATAAAGCTCACATGACCTAACTAGGCCCGTATTGTAATTAATGTCACCAAAAGGCTGTACAAATAAAGCGCGCACGGTATCGATATTAAAAATCGTTATCGGACCGATAGCAGTGGTACTCCATCGATCACTCGACCTGCTAGCTAGTCGATATGTCTGTAATCATATGATTCTCGTTCAACTATGATGTTATTGGCTAATCACTCGCATGAGTAGATCAGTTCAGTCAACGGCTTTTCTTTCGCCCTCACGATTCACTTCAAGTAGCTATATGTGACAATGTTGTGATTTCTTGGTCCTCGGTAACCACATACCACCGGTGGGTACCGTAAATGTCTTTCCATGTGGAACAAAAAAATACCCTTTTTCATTGTGCTAGATGAATGAACGAGCTCACGATTAACCTACTTTTAAATGGTTATTGGAGCCTATAGACCTAACAATATGAATGCCGTTACGCATTTTGAGATATGTGGTCATTAAGTCTTAATAAGGCTGAAAATTATCTAGTGAATATTATGTCGTCTAGAACCTGCGAGTTTTTGATTTAGAGGCACTCGCGTATGCGTTCAGATTAACATGTAGCCTACGTTTATATTGAAATTGGGGCAAAGCTTTTGTTTGGTGCCTCGCCAGACATGGTCGGACGACGGCTCCCTTTGTCTGGTTCAGTGCATCCGAATGGAATCGATTTTATTAAGCCTTCGTAACGTTGATTGGATCTCGTTAAAAATTGAATAAATTGCACATTAAAGCTACCTTTGCACAAAAGTGTGTCTAACCAAAGCGATGTCAAAAGATTACCGTTTTTATTCCTACCTAAGCTGATAGCCTTGAGAGGCTATTTCAGCGTAACCTTAACTAGTAGGTGAGCTCACTGGGCTCAAACCTGACGACGTTGCTAACACGAACCCTAGCAAGAGCCGTGCTTCGCAGAATCTACCACCGGACGGGTTCGACGAGAACGATGACCGGAAAGATTACCGATTAACATTGGCTGCAACAATCCAGAGAACAGTCACACTGATATTTACAGAATAAATGTCCTTAAACTCAAGTTGAAGAAAAATATACCAAATCGTGGTTGGCAGTGTGATCACTTATTTTTACCTAACTCTAAGTACTGGTTGTGAGGAGCTATGCAAGCCCGGACGGGCACCGCCCACCTAACTTGTTGTTTCTGCTGCGAACCAACCATGCATTACGGTTTTGAAGGCTAGACTAGTTGTATGTAATTACTTCGATCTTCTGTAAGTGGACAGCAGCATTTATTTTATTAAAAAGACAAACCTGCTTAGATAATAAAAATCTATGTTTTGCTTCTACTTTGACCATTACAGTCACAATCTTAGTACAACTAATGATGGTCCCAAGAGATGTAATCACGAGCACTCGTTTATATTACATTCATTGCTCTACGTTTGATGTTGCTACACGAGGATTTTCCTTATCTTTGTGGTAGATAATTATTTTGGACTAGTTTATGTTTTCCAAAGATGACGATTGCATACTGATTGTATATTTGATGTTATTAAAACTAATTGATGCACATTAAACTGTCGCAAGCTCCAATTTTCGTGTCGTGTGGTGTATGCTGAAATAAACGTATATGAGACGCGAACCCACGTCCTGTCTCTACCTACGTCCGGTCTCTGAATACTGTATAATAACTCGGGACACTTTGTTATGGTTCCTAATGACCAGACCAATGAAACTACATAAACTACAACTTTTATATAGTTCACTCAAAGTGTACAAGTTACCAAACTCTATTCTTGCTTCTATCTGACCAGATTCGGCGATTCTTGGCCCATATTTTAGTTTGGTTTGGCTTGAAAGTTGTACGAGAGGCCAGTCTCCTTCGCAAGATTGACGTGGTTTCTAATAGGTAGTCAGGACAGAAACCAGTAGTGATTAAGTTAGAAAGTGATTTGGCGATATTCCTATGGACGAACGATGAGGTCTCTGTATGTGGTCCGAGTAGCTCACCCGTATTTCTGGGTAAATAGTTAGTCAGAAAATGACCATGTAAAATTTTCTGACCTAATCCAGATGTCACCGACCACGGAAATAAATCCAACCAATAATAACTTGAAGAATTTGGTGATTACGGAATATTCCAGTCTTCCATTCAGTGACGTCTAATTCTACGTAAAGCCTTAAATTATTCGGAGTGGAAACACTGATTACAAACACGCAACAATTCTCGGCTTTCAGTGGCTCGCCGTCAGTTCATTTGATTTGCCTTCACACTCCGGCTGCCGGTACAGAGCAGCGCAATCTGGTTAGACCGTAGATTCGTTTCTAGAAGCTTGTATTTTTTTTTTATTTCGCTATATATTTATCAAAAGTGATTTTGATTATCGAATTTTTGGCTCTCGATAGGTAGAATGAGTAAATAGTGATATTCACGGCATCGCATCTAAGGTTCTGGTAATCGTTTACTGTCAGACATTGCAGCGCATTCGTAGACACACGTGTTCCGCATCTCAAGAATCTTAGGTTCATATTCATATTTTTTTGTTTTAGTCACGTTCACTTTCATGTCGCGTCGCGACTGATGATAGAACGTGTCAAAGACAAGCTAATAATATTCATAAACCGAAAAATGATGTATGAAGCTAAAACATATACGGATTTCTGGAAATAATTAGATTTGGTTACGTGCCGCGTGAACTAAGCCGCTTGAGGGATGAGACGCACGTGCTAACTATATGTTTTTTGACAGGATTTAAAATAGGTACAATAGGATACGACTAGTAGGGAATGTCGTGAGGCAGCTCGGGTTGATACCGCCCTACTGTCGGTGCTAATCGCAAAACAATCACGCGTGGCGCTTTTACGGGTTGAGTTACTCTAATGTGGGTACATCGAAATTTCAAGCTCCTGTTTCCAAAATGAGAGATTTCGTTTTCGTCTTAACGGAGGCCTGGGAATATTCAGTGTGTATTCTACACCAGTTAACCTCGAGTGTTGGTTCCGCAAGGACGGAAGTCCTCGTGAACAGAGGCTCGACTCGATGACGTCACCAGGCGACTGCCATTGACGTCGATAGTCATTAGCCTAATAAACACTAATAGCATTAGTAGAACGATGTATCAAATTCGATTAGTTTAAGCGCCACCTCCGCAGTATTTGTAGAACTAGAAAAATGTCCACAAATAAACGGTTTTCGCACGTATAATAAAGCCGTTGCCCTTCCAGTGGGCCACTTGACGCGATCGTACACCGTCTGTGACGTCAGACGTAACGTGCCCATTGTCGTAAGAATACACCATCACGGCTGCCGAGTGCCGACCGTCTGCGGCTGACCAGTCATAATCCGACTATTCTAACGAAGCCACGTGTAAGAAAACACTGGAAACTTAAATAGTTTATAAATTGAAAATAAATAAATTCAATTTCAATTTCGAATCGATAGTAATTATTTTATGAGCGACAGTAATTTGAATCCGCTATAATTCTCCGTAGGTTTTCCAACCATACAAATAAATATTTAAAATTTTGAAGTGAGCGTTTTTAAGTGAACAACGCAATGTCGGTTAGTTTAACGACACGGTGATATTGTTATGGTGCATCTGTGCTCAGTGGAGTGTAATGGTGGTGACTATGGGTATCATAATAGGAACGTGTGTGCCTGACGCTGAACAGGACGCGGTGGCTTACGGCGCGCAGACGAGGAGACCACCCAGAAGGATATTGTATGGTAAAACATATTATATATACATATTTATTTATACATAGACCACGTACCGGTAAGCGCAGCGTTGGGCGTCCCCCTGCCCTTTGGACCGATGACTTGCGGCGATATGCTGGGAAAGATTGGATGCGGAAGGCGGAGGATCGTTCATTGTGGCGGACCATGAGAGAGGCCTACATCCAGCAGTGGAGAGATACAGGCTGATGATGATACATATTTATTGCTTAGGCGGGGGACGAGCTCACGACTCCAGCTAGAAATCTACAACGTAAATGCCGTCACCCACCTTAAGACAAGAGTTGTAAGGTCTCACTTTTAACAGTACAACAGCTGCCCTGTCCTTCAAAACGAAACGCGACTTTACGACAGAAATAGGCTGGGTGGTGGTACCTACCCGTGCGGACTCACAAGACGTCCTACCACCAGTAAAAGTATATTACCCAAAACAAAGGGCTGGTAATCTATTTAAATTAATTAAATTATTAGACTAAATAAAATAAGAGTTGTTTTCGATCGTACTAATTGATTACTGATTAATTTGATTGTCTGGAAGAGGTCGCTTTAGGCGATATGATCGTTAAGTATGTTGGTAATATTATTTTTTATTGGTGTGATTACATTCGACTTAACTTGTAATTATATAAACCGGGGGAACAGGCATTGAGATTGAGATATAAACAGGCATTGCAAACCCTTTTAGGGCAATACAGCTAAACATTAGATGAGTTGAAAACTCTCCCAATCGATAGCATTAAAACGATCTCCACAAACAGGAAGTAATTCATATAGACTTATTGTCATCACGGATCCTCCTGATCCATTAACGGTGCTTTTAGGCACTACAAGCACCGGTCACCGTCCTCGTCGTACCCGTTGCGACGAAGGGCTCGACGAGCGAATTAACCCACAGACACAGCCCACTGAGTTTCTCGCCGGATCTTCTCAGTGGGTCGCGTTTCCGACCCGGTGGTAGATTCTGCGACGCACTGCTCTTGCTAGGGTCAGTGTTAGCAATTCTCCGGTTTGAGCCCCGTGAGCTCACCTACACAAGCTAGGGTAAGCTGAAATAGCCTCTCAAGGCTATCAGCATAGGTAGGAAAAAAAAAATAGACTTACCATTTGAGAATCCGGTCTGTTTTCGAGCTTAAAAATGCAACAATAAATAAACAATAAACTCGGAACAAAAGGTATAACGTTTATGAATTCAGTTCTCGTTCTTCAGTTTGTTATTCGAATACCAATAACGACTTCGTGTAGATGTAGTACCGGCCCGCGGAGACATTCATAATTCTGTATTGTGTTTTTGTATTAACAATTCGTATATCGGCTGTGACGATTTCAATAACACTAGTGGTCCCGCAGTAGTCGAAATTCGACTATCATCATCATCATCATCATCAGCCTTTATCTGCCCACTGCTGGACATAGGCCTTCCCCAATGCTTTCCACATAATGCGGTCCTCCGCCTTCCGCATCCAACGACTTCCCGCCGTGCGCACTAGGTCGTCAGTCCACCTGGTTGGAGGACGTCCCACGCTCCTTGTACCCATCCGTGGCCACCATTCGAGGACTTCGACTATAATTAATTGAAATTATAAGTTTAAACATTATTATGGTTCTATTGTCAAACATTATTTTAATTCGATAATATAATCACAGTATTCGCCAAAACTGCACTATAGATCAACAATATTAATCTGTTTTCAATTCGACCACAGACTTTAAACAATAACAAAAGTTTCCCAATTGACAGTAAACAAAGAGTATGTTTTTATGTATGTGTTGTGTCAAATACATGGTAGTGTGTGTAATGTTTTCTTTATTGATTTAAAGTATCTTTTATGCTTTATTTAAAAAAAATATTAGCATTGTGCACTCCTTCTCTATATTCTCTATAAGTGTGGGAAATTTCATACTCCTCCGTCCGCGCAATTTTCGTAAAAAGGGATACAAAGTTTTTCCTTCACGTATTAATATATAGATGCCAATTAGATTTATTGAGACATCGGATTCGAGTTGGTGTAGTTACCAAGTTATATTCGTTTCTTGTCACTAGTATGTATGTGTATGTTTGCTAGCTTGAGAGCATTGAATGTAAAACATTTGATGTGTTTTAATTTAACGTTGAAGTTAATGTTTTGGTAAGATACAAGTATCACTATACGAAGCAGAAAATTAACATATTATGATGAGTAATTCGTAAATGATTTGCTCTGTTTGTTCCGTTATTTGTTTGGTTTTTAAGCCAAAACTAATCATAGCGTAGCGGTCTTATAATGGGGTTATTTAACGCGATCTTCATGTTTTTTTTTTTTTTATGATTGAAAGATTACTGGTGGCCCGGAGGCCTCTCCAGCTTCACCAGGAGTCTTCATGTATCAAGGTACACGAGTACACAAGCTTTGAGTTAAATGATCGCCGCTGACGGACCTGGGGAAACTCCAAAGGTTCCATTATCTGTCACTTGACTACGGAACTCTAGAAACCGTTTTATCGCAATATTTATATTTGAATTGTTGAATTTGAACCGCTCTTACTTCAGATAATAATGAAAATTTAGTCTTGTAGTCTAATGTGTCTCTGTTAATTGTCTTAAAATGTTAGATCGATGATAAATACCGGGGAATCCTTACTACTTGCGTGTATATTAGCGCTGCAAATGGCGGCAATGTTTTATTACAAATAGTTATACCACATAACATAGATTAAATGTGTTCACCCTCTCCAAACATCTTTTGGTACGCCGACGAATACGTCAATGAACTTTTTCGAAGTCGTAGGAATAGTCCAAGTATGTTCCCTCGTAAACGTAGCTGGCGATGAAGGCGCCTGCTGGAGTCCAGGACAGGGGCACCCTGGGTACATCGCAGGGTACGGCATGCACATGCAAGGCTGGACCATGGGCATCATGGGGGCGTAGTACGGCATTATCGATTTTAGTTTCTTTTTCTTGCAGGGAGCGAAGGTGGGGCATGGTGCTTTGGTGGTTGTCGTTGTCGTAGTGGTCGTGGTTGTAGTTGTGGTGGTCATGGTCACAGTGAGGGCTACCGGAATGTCTTCTTCGGAATCAGAGCACGGCGGGGGGGTGGGACACGCGGTGGTGGTATACTCAGATGCGCTATCTGGGAAATTACAATATGAAATATTATTAAATTATTTTTAATAGGTTGACCGGTTCTGGAACCAAATTTTAGTGTGAGCTTGCAATGTCTTAGGTTGGTGGTGAATCGTATGCTTTATATAGTCTTTGGGGCTTAGACCTAAGTAGGGCCGATGTTTAAATGCTTTCTACTATCTTGAACTCTATCTTGAGCTCCTCAATAAACGGACTATGTTATGTTAATCAAATCTAATGTTAAAGATTACAGTTATACATAACACTTTCATTGTTTTTTTTTTTCAAATCAAACGACCGATTACTTAAATAATAATAATTACAGCAGCTCGTTACGTGTCACGATCGTTAAAAAGACCTCTCGAGTGAATAGCGTCATTCCGAGTCACTTGAGTATGAACTAGAAGTACGAAGGTCATTTTGTTGAGTCATTGTATAATATTTGAGCATTTGATAATGCAAGGGACTAATGTTTATAGACAGACGTTCATCCACGTGGTGGCAGACGTAAACCATGAATACGTTAGCCCAGTACGAACCCATAACGAGAAGTGGTGGTTACTGGTGGTAGGACCTCTTGTGAGTCCGCGCGGGTAGGTAACACCACCCTGCCTATTTCTGCCGTGAAGCAGTAACGCGTTTCGGTTTGAAGGGTGCGGCAGCCGTTGTAACTATACTGAGATCTTAGAACTTATATCTCAAGATGGGTGGCGCATTTACGTTGTAGATGTCTATGGGCTCCAGTAACCACTAAACACCAGGTGGGCTGTGAGCTCGTCCAACCATCTAAGCAATAAATAAAAAAAAGTTGTGATGTCACTATCTGGCAACAAAACTGCTGTTACAACCACGTCTGCGTGCGGTGTTGCATTGGACAAAAAAACGTTTTTTTTCCGGTTTTGCTCTCGAAAATCTTCTAGTTTTACTGTCTGCGTGATGATATCGTTGGCCTATTGAAATGTCGAATAAGACGTCATCATATCTAGCTTAGAGTAGTGATGTTGAAAGTACTATAAGATGGAAAACCAGAAAGAGTTCCAGTGAATGCTCTTTGTTGATTGTTTTTTCCTACCTAAGCTGATAGCCTTTAGAGGCTATACTAGCGTAAGCTGAGCTCACGGGGATCAAACCTGACGACGTTGATAACACTAACCCTAGCAAGAGCAATGCTTCGCGGAGACTCTTTGTCATAAACATTCAAAGTATTCAAAATTCGGTAGGCAGCGGCTTGGCTCTGCTTGGTGGGGACAGTAAAAAAAAGGTCCAAAATTACTCACAAGGCATCAGAGTAATGATTGGCGCGTCGTGAGACCTCGGAACGGCGGGGCTTTGGTTTTTCTGTTCAAGTCGCTCCCGTCTCCTATCCTTGCACTCCTGGCACATGGCGCAGTGAACTTCTAACAGGTTTTGATGCTCTTTGGCCTCCCGACAAGTCCTGCATGCGGTCCTGCAGTCTACTAACGCAGAGATTGACGGCAACATTATTATTGTCAAGAATATTGGTTTCATTACCTGAAAATAACTAAAACGATTTCATACTCATAAACGCAACCTACACTTTCACTTGAATCATTTCATTAACAGAAATGACTTTTTTATTTATTGCTTAGATGTGTGAACGAGCTCACAGCCCACCTGGTGTTAAGTGGTTACTGGAGCCCATACACATCGACGTAAATGCGCTTGAGATATAAGTTCTAAAGTTTCAAGTATAGTTACAACGGCTGCCCCACCCTTCAAACCGAAATGCATTACTGCTTCACGGCAGAAATAGGCAGGGTGGTGGTACCTACCCGTGCGGACTCACAAGAGATCCTACCACTAGTTCCAAAAAACAAACAAGCTTTACCTTCTTTTTTTCTTTACAACTGCTGTGTGCTGTATTATAATATATTTGTGTTTTTTTTTCCAAAGAAACGTCTTTGTAGGCAGCGAATTAAACATAAAACTAGTTTTTATTGCTCAAGTCATAAAAATACATGTTGTGTACTTATGAAGTGTGTTCACGTTTTGGAAATTATCCATTTTGTAATACATTTCATACAAACACTGCAAAAACAAATAAATTTGACAATAAAACTGCAATGAGTTGTTTTATCGCTAATTCAGATTTTTTTTATTAACGTTAGTGGATCGGAGTAGCTCAGGGCGCATCGTCGTCCAGCGGTGATTGGAGACGGTAGACAGGTAGATCACGTAAATCACACACCAGCCCACTGAGTTTCTCGCCGGATCTTCTCAGTGGGTCGCGTTTCCGATCCGGTGGTAGATTCTGCAAAGCACGGCTCTTGCTACGGTTCGTGTTAGCAACGTCGTCAGGTTTGAGCTCCGTGAGCTCACCTACTAGTCAAGGTTACGCTGAAATAGTCTCTCAAGGCTCTCAGCTAGGTAGAAAAAAAAAAGTAATTCACACAACCTGACTAGAAATGTCCATATTGTGACTAAAGTCCTTATTGCGACTGTCCTACCCGTAAACCCAAATACATGACTACAGCGTGAAAGAAAGGGCTTCCCTATCACTCAAGATAGAAATTATGAGAAGTTTTATTTTTATTGCTTAGATGGGTGGACGAGCTCACAGCCCACCTGGTGTTAAGTGGTTACTAGAGCCCATAGACATCTACAACGTAAATGCGCCGCCCACCTTGAGATATAAGTTCTAAGGTCTCAGTATAGTTACAACGGCTGCCCAGCCCTTCAAACCGAAACGCTTTACTGCTTCACGGCAGAAAAGTACGGAAGGAAAATAAAGTACGGCCTACCGTATCCATTATGTATTAGCAGCTAAAGTCAACTGTTTTCGTCTACGTTGGCTTGACCATAAATCAAATCCATCAACTGAGATGTAAGCAGCATCGAAATAAATTGAATATGCAATTTCGAAAAGGGCACATCTCTGAAAATGTAAAATGTTCAGGAAATGAAAAAAAAACTGATTATTTGCTAAAGCAGTGTAAAATTTTGAATATTAACTTTTGAGATATATTTTAGTGTTAATTAGCAATTGAAAATTACTGGAATTATTATAAAATGGGTGTAGGTAAGTCTCAAAACGACATGTATATATGAAAAAACGTATTTGACAAAATATGCGACATGTGCCCTTTTCGAAATTGCATATTCAATTAGACTTTGAAGTTATGTTTTTCATAGGCTCCTATTACCGCATATCAAACAGTTAAACACCATCGAAACGAATACCATCACACCACATCGATCGACGCCCGACTTTATGTTATTGATTACTTCAACGCGTACGTCAAAGGTAATTGCATGTCAACAGTAGACCAACCTTTGGTCATGTATATTATTATGTTTGTTAGGTTCACTCGTTTGTGAATAATTTTGATGTAGTTACTGGTGGTAGAACCTCTTGTGAGTCCGCACGGGTAGGTACCACCACCCTGCCTATTTTCAGCCGTGAAGCAGTATTGCGTTTCGGTTTGAGGGGGGGGGGGGGCAGCCGTTGTAACTGTACTGAGACCTTAGAACTTATATCTCAAGGTGCGTGGCGCATTTACGTTGTAGATGTCTATGGGCTCCAGTAACTACTTAACACCAGGTGGGCTGTGAGCTCGTCCAATCATCTAAGCAATAAAAAAAAAACATTTTATTCGTCAAAATCCCGATAAACCGATCGGAGTTATGTAGGAAAGTTGAGTAAATATACTCAAATACGTAAGTACACTGATAAATTGAACCCTTCTTTGATTTTGGCGTAGTCTAATGATCATTTGCTATCCTTATAAAACGGAGAGCTCTTTTTAAAGCCCATGCTTGGTACGCTTATTCGAATGTAAATTAAGTTGTTTTAAAGACGGGTGTGCGATTGCTAGCGCAGATTTGTTGATACAGAACTCATTGTTTAGTGCAATACTTTCACAGAGCAAGGAATATTCGGTTTTATAACAGACACATACACATTTCATCTTATGGCTATTATGTTTCTTCAATTTGTTCAATTTTGAGTCGGTTGGGCCTAAACATGATTTTTTAATCCTTATTTAAGTAACAGTTATCCATTAAATAAAGTATAATATATAACCCGACTGAAATAAAATAAAACTAGTTAGTTCCCTTTGTAGAGTGTGAACTGGATGCATTCAGCTTTTTAATTGTTAATGTTTACTTTTTAAACAATAAATAACTTTAATTTGATATTTGGAAAATCAGCTCACAAAGAATCCGCGGTGGGTACACTAGGAGGCCGGGTTAGTCATGTGACCGTGCTGTGGATTAATTCTGGGATAGGTAGAGATTCGACTCTGCATCTATAGTTTAGTGATGTTTCGTCCATTTAAATCTACCAGATATAACGTTTTAAAAACATCATGAAACTGGTCTAAACAAGTATAATAATGTCAATAAAATAACAAGAATGCTTAATTATTGTTAAAGCTGCAGTCGGAGGATTGATCTTTTAAAACAGGATTTTCTCGACTGAAAATAATGAATTGTGGACGAGCGTAGTTGTGGCGGTAATTGATTGGACGGCAGTGAAGAGTGCAGATACAGCTCTGACTACCCATTTGTTAGACTGTACGATCGCTTAGAAGAAAATACTGCGCTAATTTTCATGTAATTTTGGTGATGATCTTTCTGGATCAGGCTTAGAAAGTAGGATTGTGTTTGTTTGATCTTGTTGCACTGATGCCGGGCCGGAGCCAGAGATATGGGTAACAATAAAAAACTTTCACAAGCTCTGCCAAGTAACCAATGTAAGATGAGCTCCCATTTCAAGCACATTCACGTAATTTATTCCAAAAACTCGCGTGGAATCGCGAATCGTAATTTATAAAAGTGATTTATTGGTGTTTACGTTGATCTGTATGCATGAGAATGTGTGTTTCTTAAGGTCTGCCGCTTTGTTCGTTCTATAAGAAGTCCTAGTAGAATTGCGTTGTTTATTAGTTTTTCTATTTATATAAAAACTAGCGACCCGCCCTCGCTTCGCTTCGGAAACTGTAATTTATTATTGATTTCTTCACTATTTAATGGATGTCATTATACATATAAACCTTCCTCTTCAATCACTATATCTATTAAAAAAAAACCGGATCAAAATCCGTTGCGTAGTTTTAAAGATTTAAGCATACATAGGGACAGACAGATATAGGGACAGAGAAAGCGACTTTGTTTTATACTATGTAGTGATGAATTGCTGTTCGTTAGTCTCGCTAAAACTCGAGAACGGCTTTGGCTAATTTTGGTCTTGAATTATTTTGTGGAAGTCCACAGAAGGTTTAGAAGGTAGATAAATATGAAAATGCTCGGAATTAAATAAATATAACAATTTTGTTTCTCCTTTGATGTGTCCCCCGTCGGCCGGATTCCTTTTGTTTGTTTTACATTTATTTTATACAAAAGTTTAGGTCTTTTATTTATCGATTGAGGCACTACGAAGTCTGCCGGGTCAGCTAGTTGGTAATACAAAACGTTAACGAGAAAACCTCATACCTCTTTTCATGATATGCACTAAGAAGTTATGTTTTTTTTTTGCACTTTGAAATATTAACAGAAGCGACGCGGGCGCGACCTTGACTAGCATACGTATTCGGTTTTTACATCGGACACTCAAAGTAACGCTTCATTACTGACTTCAGCGCAGGTGATGTGGAAGCGTCAGTTGTTGACGTTTACGAGTCGATGTGTGGTGCAAGACGTTACAGAAAAATATACTGCGCATCTTTCTTGGGATAATGTGGGAAGAAAAAAATAAATTCGAGCGAAAATTATAACATCGAGATGTGGCGCATCTGTTCGCGGGATGTTCACGCCACGAAACCCGGAAACTTTGTTGTATAAATTTACATACACAAGACTGACATGGAACGGTTCCTTGTCTCGCAACTGATGTGTGCTTTTGTTTGTTAAACTCCCTCAGGATCTACTGGTATTATTGTGATCCTGTAGTATCGATCTTGTGCTGGTGGTAGGACCTTTTGTGAGTCCGTGCGGGTAGGTACCACTCGTCGAGCTCGTCCACCCATTTAAGCAATAAAAATAAAAAGATTACCAGTTGAAATATGTAACAAGCGTGACCTAATTTAAACTTGACCTTAAGGACAGCTCAACTGTCGCCAGTTCTTTTTTATTATCGTGATTATACGTATCTGTGCACGTGACAATACAGTCCCTGCATTCGAGAAATTAAACAGCCAGCAGTATAAAGAGCATTAAGCAAAGCCCATAGTGTAATTGCCATCGCCTTTGTCAAGACACGAGGTCATAGTCTAAGGTGCTTTTAGGTACCACAAGCACCGGTCATCGTCCTCGTCGAACCCGTCGCTTGCGACGAAGGGCTCGACAAGCGAATTAACCCACAGACACAACCCAGTGAGTTTCTCGCCGGATCTTCTCAGTAGGTCGCGTTTCCGATCCGGCGGTAGATTCTGCGAAGCACTGCTCTTGCTAGGGCCAGTGTTAGCAACACTCCGGCTTGTGCCCCGTGAGCTCACCTACACGTTAGGGCGAAGCTGAAATAGCCTCTCAAGGCTATCAGCATAGGTAGGAAAAAAAATTAGTCTAAATAGAGACTAACCTGAAAGTATGATGGTTCAGTTACAGAAACAGTCAGGACGGCGGTCTCGTGCCAGTACTAAGCTTGTTTTGTCTTTATTCCAGGTATAAAATGTCCGGTGTGCAGCAAGTTCGTTTTACCGGACGACATCGAGTGCCATCTCGTAATGTGCCTGACGAGGCCACGTCTATCTTATAATGGTGAGTTTTATTTACGATACGATATACGACAGCTTTGACGCCATAAGCCCCTAAATATGTATTCCAGCGTCGGATCTGGTGTCGTTTATTATTCAGGTCTTGTGGAGACTGACGTTGACTTCGTGTATTTCAGACGCTTAGGCCACAATTATTACTGGTGCCATAAGTTTTTTTTTTATTGCCCATGTAGGCAGACGAGCATACCCGCCCACCTGATGGTGAGTGGTTACCGTTGCCCATGGACTTCAGCAATGCCAAGGGCAGAGTCAAGCCGCTGCGTACCGTTAATATGTGTGGCGGCACCTCTTCATGTAGACACTAATATATATTCCTGAATGATCCACGGCGCACGGGAGTCCAGCTTCTCTCGACTGGAACTCTGGAACTTTTACCAGTTTCTGGCTTCGTGTCAGTTCAGATTTTATGGTCTCCAATTTCGCTAATTAAAGTTTGGGATCGAAGACAAATCAGCTTTTCTTAAACTTGCCCGAACGCTATGATTCAGTCTTGCAGCGTGGTCGCCGCCTTGACTCTTGGATTTGTACACATATGTTAGTGATGGGAGTGAGTGGGAGACCCGGAAACCCCTGTCAAAATGGCGAATGAAGACTATTTATTTATAATCTATTATTTGCGTTTATTTCTCTGGCGTCTATTTATTTAGGTTATAATTTCCGACGTTTGAATATTATGATTGTGGTAGTAATCATTGGTGGATTGAAAATTTAAATTGAATAATAACATTATTTACTACGTATATTATAGTTTTTTTTAATTACCAATAGACTTGCATATATAAAAATGCGAATTGTTTAAACATTCTTATAAATTGTTTTTTTTTAGACAAACATTTTGATTGTGCCGCTTTGCTAAAAAAAATTGATTCGGTAATTAGCACATTCGTTTTTTGACTACCCACGTTCGCTATGCCTCATGGAAATTGCAGAAAACAAAAAAATACAACAAGTCAGATTATTATAAGTAATGTGTCTTATGTTTTCAGAGGATGTTCTGAGCGACTCGAAAGGCGAATGTGTAATATGCCTCGAGGAGCTGTCCGCGGGCGACACTATCGCCCGCCTGCCGTGCCTCTGCATCTATCATAAAGGGTACGTTTCCTATTGTTAAAACTCAATTTAAATTTGAATGTATGAAAGGAATTCATGTAGAAGTAACTTCGTGGTAGCTCAAATAATGCTGATGCATGTGAACCACGTCGATTAATTCACTAATAATCAAACATTCTGTATACTAGCGGCAAACGTAGGGACGCTGTTCCAACTCCATACGAATTTGAGTTAACTTTTACGCTATCGAGAACGTTAAAAAAAGTGTGTGTGTCCGCTCCGACGCACGACTGGAGTTTACTGGATATAAAAAATTAAACGAAACAATACGAGAAATAGTTCTATATTACGACAACACGATACACTACAGATTATTAACAAATTAACGAGACACAAAACAAACGACTAACAAATATATGAAAATACAATAATGAGAGAAACGCGCGATCAGTACGAGGCTTTGTGGCGGACTGCCGGCGCAGGCGCATAACGCATTTCGTGTGACATGCTAGTACGATTTTGGTCCTCATAATTTTCATACCCCGGGCCTATATATGTAAATCGATTCTAAAGGAGTAAACTCCAAAAACTCGCACTAAGCACACTGTTCAAAAGCAGCTCTACAAGTGGCAGTCTCGATTGTGTAGCAGTTTCGCCGCTAAGATCGGAACGTGGGATTACTTCGGGGCAGAAGTAGACAAGACGGTGGTACTACTAACCCGTGCATATAAAAACTATTCAATTTATTGTACTTATTTGATCCAGTCCCCCGTGCCCACGCAAAATTATCAATTTCTGAAAATGTGTAATAAAAAAAAGAAAAGGATAAGATCCTTTTTATTGCTTATACAGTTGGATTAGCTTATCGTCCACCTGATGTTAGTGCTTAAGACAGATAGACATTAGCAAGGTAAATTCCGCCACCCACTTTAAGACATGAGTTCTTAGAATATCAGTTTTAACAGTACAACGGCTGCCCCAGCCTTCAAACCGAAACGCATAACTGCTTCGCGGCACCAATATTAAAATTTGAGGTGTCATTTTGATTAAATAACTTAGAGGTATGATAGTTTTTTTTAACTAGCCGGGTATATAGTTCTTGACACTGCACAGTGTGTGCAGACCGTCGTCCTCACGCCGAGTCAGGCTAATGGCGTTAAGGAAGCAACTCGTTTCGATTAGTAATTTTTTTTTTATTGCTTAAATGGGTGGACAAGCTCACAGCCCACTTGGTGTTAAGTGGTTACTGGAGCCCATAGACATCCACAACGTAAATGCGCCACCCACCTTGAGATATAAGTTCTAAGGTCTCAAGTATAGTTACAAGGGCTGCCTCACCCTTCAAACCGAAACGCATTACTGCTTCACGGCAGAAATAGGCAGGGTGGTGGTACCCACCCGCGCGGACTCACAAGAGGTCCTACCACCAGTAATGTTTCGTTCTCTCTTGATTCCAGGTGCATAGATCAATGGTTCGAAGTGAACAGGTCGTGTCCGGAGCACCCCGGCGACTAGTGCGCCGTCTAGTGCGCTCAAACAGACTGTGACGCCAGAGGGCATTGTAAATATTAATAAAAAAAACAAAAGAAAACTTATGCTAGTGAGACGTTTACCATTTAATGAATTTAAACAATAACAAAATAATATTAATAATAATGATAATAATAAAAATTATTAACAAAGACAATTATAGGAAACAAAAATTAATATTAAAAAAAATGAAAAAAAAAAAGTTGGGAAATTCTCGGTGGATTATTTATAATTTAGTAATATTGTCGTTTTAGTTGAGTAACTCGTGCACTCCGTGCCGTGCGTGTGGTAGTGACGTCACCGGGTCGCGCGAAACGACCCGCTTCGGTTTACATATCTCTGCCTGTAAGCTTATCGTTTATATATTGTATGATTTCATCTTTTTCATCTTCATAAATAAAACTTTATTTGTTTCTAAATTTTACAACGATTGTTTTATTTCGTACCCTTACACGACGTGGTTTGGAGAATATGCAACCGTATTACAATTGAATTCGTTCCTGAATGTTCTCCGTGCGGTGAGCAGACGACAATACGTCGGTCGCGGCCGCTCGTGTGTTGTACCTCTGTTGTTACTCTGATTATAGTGCTGTTCACGTTTATTTACCTTGGACTATGTAAAATATGGACGTGTACATTCTAGAATATCAAGTAAAATGTAATTAAGTAAAATCTATCCCTTAAGGCCCTTGAGAATTTGTTTAATTCCGTCATACTCGATGAGAATGTGCCCCTGACATGGGCCAGAAGTGTGGTGGTACTGTTTGTTCTTCTCAGACCTGTCTCATTCCTGAAGAATGTGTATATGTTGCTCTCGACTGTTAGAGGACGACCATTAATTACGTGAGAAGTTCTAGGGTTTTTTATGCTATTTTTGTTGCATTGATGAATGGACGAGCTCACGGCTTACCTGGTGTTAAGTGGTTACCGGAGCCGATAAACATTTTCAATGTAAATGCCGCCACTCACCTTTAGATATGAATATGAGTTCTAAGGTCTCAGTATAATTACAAAGGTTGACCCACCCTTCTACCCAAAACGCATTAGTGTTTAACGGCAGAAATAGGTAGGGTGGTGGTACCTGCACTCACAGACTCACAAGAGGTCCTACTCCTACCACTATTAATGAACGAGTAATGGTGGAGAGGGGGATCAAGTTAAATCTTTCCAAAACTTACTTAGGAGGGAAAGGGCGGTTCTTAAATAACAAATATTACGTGAGTAATTCGCAAAAAGTCGCAGAAATTCGACATGCCGCACATCATGCACGTACTGTGCAAACGCGCAAATTGTGACCCTCGCGGTTTGTCACACGACGACCTTATGAGCTTCTGTGCGCCAGCGACAACTGCTGGGAGCGGCTAATTTCAGAGCGAAGTTACGGGAACAGAAGATTTTATTGAAAATCACTTGGATAGACTCTATGGGCTGAATAATAATAAATATTTTCAAAACTTTTGTTTAATATTTATTATTATTTACTTTTATTATTGTGTTTTTAAATTACGGTAATATTCAGAAATACTAGTCTGCTATTGTTCAATAAAAGTAATAGAACAAGTTAAGTTTTGTTTTTTTTTTCTCAATAATCTTACAGGTACAAAACATAAATTTTGGAGTTTCGCGTGAGATTAGGGGAGGGGGTGAATTTTTTTTCGAAAATGTCTCACGTAATGAATGGACGCCCCCTTATTATGAACCGTCTCGCGCGCAGGTTTGATGGTTTCCAGTCACACGCTACGGCAGGTTGTACCAAAATCCGAGGAATATAACTTGCCCCTTTGCTTAGCATTTGTGAACTACGAGAAAGCCTTTGATTCGATTGAGACCTGGACCATGATGCAGTCTCTCCAACGGTGGCAAACTGATTGCCGGTACATCGAAGTGTTGAAGTGTTTGTATGATAACAATTCATACTACCTAGAATCACTGCGTTCATTCACAGTGCATTTCCAGAGATCTTTTTGCAACGCATCATCCGGTTTTAGAATGAGCTCCCCTCTACGGTGTTTCCCGAGCGCTATGACATGTCCTTCTTCAAACGAGAGTTGTGAAGTGTACTTAATGGTGGCTTGGCTCTTCCCCTGGCATTGCTGAAGTCCATGGGCAACGGTAACCACTCACCAGCAGGTGGGCCGTAAGTTCGCCTGTCTACAAGGCCAATAAAAAAAATCCAACTCAGATGGTAAGCGTTTGGACGTACGCTACGTAGAATCTTCTCACCACAAATGTCAGTGTCTCAAGACGAAAGTCTTTGATCAGTGTGTGTAGCCAGTGATGACAAATGCCACTAAGACGTGGTCGCTCACAATGGGCTTTATCAGAAGCCTCAAGGTCACACAAACAGCAATTTTACTGGTGGTAGCACCTCTTGTGGGTTCGCATGGGTAGTTACCACCACCCCGCCTATTTCTGCCGTGAAGCAGTATGCATTTCGGTTTGAAGGGCGGGGCAGCCGTTGTAACTATACTGAGACCTTAGAACTTATATCTCAAGGTGGGTGGCGCAACTTATATCTCAAGTTGGATGGTGGGTCCCGAAATCTGCCCGTGTAAAATTGTTAATTCCACTCTTAGGATAAGCTCCATGAGCTGGTTCCACCAGGCCGGTGCAACCAGAATAGCTCCTCGAGGATACTGGCAGGACGTACACCCAAAAGGAAACCCAAATGAACTATTGTTTTATCCTGGACTACAAGGTATAGGCGACACAAGTTTGTTGGATCGCCGCGCGCGCCCGCAGCCGTACAATGATAACTTAAGCTTGTGATGTACTTAATGCTTGGCTTTTAATTTTATCTAATTCTTTATACTAGATATCCCTATTGTCTCAATAAAGGCAACGTTAGACGTAGTCGGTGAGCACTCATGGTCATTACGTGTTAATCGTGACGTCACAACGATGAGTGTCACGTCATCATGTTCAGTGTGCTTAGTGCGAGTTTTTTAACGTTTTCGATAGCGTAAAAGTTAGCTCATATTTGTATGGAATGGGATCGTTTGCCTACGTTTGCCGCTAGAGGCGTTGTTCCAACTGCATACAAAATTGGGTTAACTTTTACGCTATCCAGAACGTCAACAAACTCGTACTAAGCACACTGACAGTGTTAGGTCGTAGTAGGACGGAGGGAGGAAGGACGCGGGGAGGGTTACGCAAATAAATAAAACACAAAAAGAGTTTCTACAAGTGTATATCGCGTCCAGTGCGGTCCCCTCAGCGTATGAAGGAGCGGTGCCTCGGGCCGCGCGGTCCCCGGCACGCGCCACCTGCGAACAGTCGGCGGGTGAGTGTGGTGCGGCCCGCAGGCCCCGGCGGGCGGCGTGTCGGCGCACTCACCCAGCATGTACTGCGGCGCCGGCGGGTAGTGCCCGAAGTGCGGCGCGCCCGCCTCCCACGCGCCGCGCCCGCGCCTGCCGACACATGCACACAGTCAACGCGCACGTCAGCGGCGCCGCCACGACAACGCACACGTGCAATGTACAAAAAATAATGCACGTGCATTTTCAACCTTAAATAAGATTGCTGTTGTAATAGTGAATGTTGTGTATAAGAGATGCGACATCTATATATATATATATATATATATAGCTGACCCGGCAAACGTTGTTTTGCCATATACTAAGGATTCCTAGGGAATTTTTAGTGTAGAAAAAAAAAAACTTATTGTAAGTATGTAAGGATGTGGTAAATGAGGGAAAGAGGCGTGTAGCGCTGTGAACGATGAGGGAATTTAAAAATAACAAAACCTCATTCAACCACATAATGCCTCACTATAACAAAAAATATATATATTAGTCCAAAAAATAAAAAAATAAATGTTAGGGGTGGACAACCCTTATCACTTAGGGGTATGAAAAATAGATGGTAGTCGATTCTCAGACCTACTGAACATGCATATAAAATTTCATAAAAATCGGTCAAACCGTTTCAGAGGAGTACGGTAACTAACATTATGACACGAGAATTTTATATATAAGATATTTAAATACTTCATTAAAATATTGGACGCTACCCGTTGCTAACGCTCGCGCTGGCCTGTAACTGGTATACTACGCGCTTGCGTTCGAGTGCCACGCATTCACTCTCGCTCTGTCTCTTTCTATTCACCCTCCCCAGGAGCGTTAAACGTTTAACGCAACCTTGATGGAAGTCGCATTAGAAGTTTCACTTCAACAACAGCAATATAGACGCTCGGTCCCGCCCTAGCGACGCTGTCCCTGCTGTACTAACGTCGCGGGGTCCGCCTGTACTTTATAAACACCTGTGTGCTTAGTGCCAGTTTTTTAACGTTCTCGATAGCGTAAAAGTTAGCTAATATTTGTATGGAATGGGATCGTTTGCCTACGTTTGCCGCTAGGGGCGCTGTTCCAACTGCATACAAAATTGGGCTAACTTTTACGCTATCGAGAACGTTAAAAAACTCGCACTAAGCAAACTGAACATTAATTAGAAATATGTATATTGCGAGCTCACGAATGTGTGGAACTTAAAATGATAGTTCTATTAGCAAATCCGTTGTCGTTGGCTCCTGCGGCTGGGGCCGGCACTCACGTGTGTCGGTAATGCGCGTGCACCGGCGCCGCCGACGCGAAGCGCCCGCGGTCCGCACCACGCCGCGCGCCCCTGCTGCAACAGCCGAAGTTACACTACGCCCGCACACTGCGTTGTAGTAGCATTTCTATCTATTTGTTCTTTACGTTCTGTCCGTGAGACAACTAGGAATTTACATTTCTTCGAAGCGTCAATGTAGCACGCGCGATGCTGCGTGGGGTCAACGCACTCAGTGGTGCACAACTAGCAGTACATGAGGCTTTTAAAACAATAAGCTTTTATTTTCTACCCAGCAAACTAAAATTGATCCCCGTTTAGTAAATATTCGTTCTAGAAGTCTGAGCGTACCTGCTGAGGTTGGTGTAGGTGTGGTGCAGCGCGGTGAAGTCGTCCACGTGCAGGCTGGGGGGGCGGGAGGTGTTGGGGGGGCGGCAGCGGAAGGCGTCCGGCGCCTCCCCCCGCCCCCTCGACACGCGCACTCCCCGTTCCACTGTCACACGACGCACAACTCAACGAGACTGTACTTAACTTCTCGTGGGGACAACACACAGTTTGTTCACACGAGGACTACATATATTCGATTTAGCTTTAGCACAACACTGTCTTGTAAAGAGATACACAACTATTTATCCTTATATGTATAATAATATGTAAGTGGCAAGATCGGTGCTTTTTGGTCATTTCACACTGGCATACTAATTTTATATTAAAATAAGAAAATATAAACGACAGTCATCAATAAAATTGATATGACGATGTTACGAATAGCATTTTTTTGAAAAAAATAAAAGGTTTAGATTTTAAACTAAATCTCCACTAGATTTCGCCATACCATCTCACATATATATGTCAATACAATAAAGTATCTCAGTAAGGTAACCTCTTTGAATGACCTGACGAGCATGTAACCGGATGAGGTGGGACGTAGGTCTTGTGTTTACTCGATCCTTTGGGACTAATTCAAATCCTCTGGCTGGCTGGCTGGTAGCGTTAAGGATGTGAATACTTGACCAGCATGTGTGACCGGATGAGGTGGGTCTTGTAAGGACTAATTCCCAGTCTTGAGGGTGGGCCCGCGGCCCCCAGAGGGCGTGAAGGTTACCTGCGGGCCTCTTGTCGTCGCAGGAACGGGGCTCGGTCCTGGTGTCGAGGCAGCCGGCCAGCCTCCGCACGGCGCTGGCGACCGCCTCCCCCCCGCACGACGCGCCGCCCACCGACAGGTAGCTGTTCGCCACTTCCATGATGTCGCACGGTACCTGCCGCCCCCACCGACACTTACATCAACGACCCTATTTGATATGTTCGTTTCCGCAGAAAAATAAAGAACATTACATAAAAAATACTGCTGAAATTCCAAAACTCAGTTACATTTTTGAAGTGAAACTTCTTTATCGACGTAGGGAGGAAAAAACGTATGTAACGTTTTTCGGTTACGCGCCATCTTAATTTCTTCCGTTACATGCCCTGTTTATTTTATTTCTATTTAGTTTGTTATCAACAGATGTCGCTGCATGTAAATTCAACAATTTCTGAATCGGGTTGATGAGATGTTACACAGTTGATCGACGATACCGTGATCATGCAGGCGGTTCCCCCGGGGTGCGGCTGCTTCATTGCACTGCGGGGTGGTTGACCCTTGCGATTATTTTTATATTTTATAAGTTCCACTTCTACCGTGTGTGACTTGCACACACACACATTTTTTTTTGTTGCTTAGATGGGTGGACGAGCTCACAACTCACCTGGTGGTACCTACCTTACAAGAGGTCCTAACACCAGTAAAAGGATTGTGGGCCTGCATGTGTCCATACCAGTGCATTCAGTAGGCACCGGGTGCTGCGCCCCCCCACACTTACTAATTCATGATCGTGAACATAGTCCTCTCCGCTGGCCGAGGGGATGTTCAACCAGTAGCCGGTGGTGAGTCTCTCGTCGGCGGGCTCCCCCGGACTGTGCACGGTGCGCGTGGCGAACTGGGCCACCAGGCTGTCGGGCGCCGCGGGCACGGCCTCCGGACCCTCGGGGGGTGGGGAGCCGCGCTCGGTTAGCTTCTGAAGGTGGCCAACAAGGAATTTGACTGCTGTGGCATCTTCCTCTGCGTTGCGATCCTGAACAATAAAATTTCACTACTTGTTGGCATTGATAAAAAAAATACTGTGATTTAATTTTTTACTATTTAAACATAAGTTTTCTGTAATCAGCTAGCTTACTTTTTGATACAAAAGATCAATGCCCATGAAATCATTAGAGATTGGCATGTTTGAATATTATTATTGATTAATTAATATTATTGAATATAATTGTGAAAAAGTGACTAAATATATTTTGTCAATTTTTTATCTCAGATGATTAAACTATATATTCCCAGGGTGAATAATATTTAAGTTATTTACTATGGTGTATTTCTTGAATTGAGTTTTGATTTATTTCTTCACATTTGCAATAAACAACCAGAACTAAACATTCTATAATGTGCTTACCGAGTAGTGGGAAGCACATTATAGACGTCATTTGAAGTTTAAACATGATCATGAGTTATGAGCGTTAAAACCATAACGTACCTTCAAAATCTTCTCCAAGCTCATAACCGGATGATCGTCAGCTCCCACAGAGTACCCCAGCATGTCCGCCATTTCGGCTACAGTCAACACGGACTTTCTGACCACAGGGCCACCCTCGCCTTCTTCTCCTTTCAATATCCTGATGAGATCTAAGTATAGGCTCAAGCATTCCGCCCTATCCTCACCGGGTCCGTCCACGGCCCATTTGAAAAACGTCCCCAGAGCTTCACGTTTTTTCGTCACAAATTTCCTGAACTGTTGAAAGCCGTATTCGTGGTCAGTCAGTACGAAATACGCTCGCAGTATCGACTGCGCCACGGAGCAAGTTTTTGTGCTAGACTCCAGACAATCTGCCGAGGCGTCGAGGAAAGCTGCCAGCGCTTCCTTGTTTGGTAACGAATTTGCGAGTAAATTATCCGGGAGGGAGGAGACCGGGGTGAGCGTGATGTCCACGTCGCAGAGCGCGGCGAGGATGTGCGCGGCGAACTCTTGCGCGGTGGAATGGTCGCCCGCAGCGTTCGGCAGACTGAGCACTACGCACAGAGCTGACTGAATCTCTGTCGCTTTGGGTCCGCCGGTGTTTAGGGCGTGGAGGACGGCACACTTCAGAGGTGCGTGTGACACAAGACATGTCAAAAATCCTAGAACTCTGGCTGAGCTCGCGGTGGCGGGTTCTCCCGGCTTGACTTCCCTGGCGACGGCACCCACTGCGGCGTGGGCGACCGTGGCGGCAGTGTTCGGAGCTAGGTCGGCTATCTGCACGCACACTCGCCTCAGCATGTGGACGACCGGCCGATACGTGGACATGCATATGATCTGGATCATGTCGGTGAGATCGTTCGACAGCGCGTGCAAATGTGCCGACCACAGCCTTCTCTCGTTGCAAGCGTCCTCCAGCTCCCGCGGAGTCGGCGGCGTCTTCGCCTGCATCGGTAACGGTAGCGGCAGCAACTCTGAAAACACCAACAATCCCGGCACGAACGTGTAGGGGGCGGTCATGGTGTACTGGATGACTTCGGAGCACAGGGACGTCCATGGCCCTCGTCGGATCGAGTCCCCGTCGTTCGCATCATCCGCTATCGGCTGGGCGTAGGTCAGCAACGCTTTGACGGCGGCTTCTGCAGCCTTGGCCGCCGTCCTGTAGCCGACGCAGCCGACCGGGAAGGACTTGGCTATGCCGTACGTCTTCAGCAATACAGGAGCCGCCGTCAGGTCTCTGAATCGCGGTCCCCGGCAACGAACGACTCTCGCCAACATCTCGTCCAACAACCTCAAGCATGGAACCAATATTTGAGCGAGCTGTAATCCTTTGACTGAGGCGAAGAATGCGGTGTGCATGCTCGGCTGCTCGAAGCGCGTGGACAGCCTGCTCAGCACGCCGCCCAGGTGCGCCACGCCGTCCAGGGAGTACAGCTGCAGCACGTTGTACTTATACTTGAGCTCGACGTACTCCTGCGCGGCCGCCTCGTTGGCAATGGCGACGTTGGTATCGCGGTCGGAGACACAGAAGTGCCTCAGGACTCGAAGACAAGTTGTGAGTTCACCGGGCAAGTCGGCCGAATGCTCCGAGTTGGCCTTTAGGATCTCCACGCATTCTGCCAGGTCGTCCCCGTTCAAGAGGCTCATATTTTCAACCGGTTTCAGATATGGTATCACTTCTTGAAGAACACTAGAGACGCTCGGCTCAAACCTGTCGTGATCTTTCGAGACGTTAATGAGTCTTTGTCCATATTTCTTTAAAAACGTCACATTGGCTGAAAACCGCACTGCCGATACGATCAATTCTATGGCATATCCTTTTGCTGGGGACTTTTGTTTAGAAGGTGAATCACTTTTATTTTTTCTTGAGTCATTTTCGAAGACTTCCATCAGGCAATCCGCATGGTCGCCCATCACGACGACGTCGGACACCGCAGTCCTACCGATGCAGCCGAAGCTGAGGCAGTACAAGGACTGCAGACGATCGATCAGTTCATTTTCGTCGCCTTGACCAGCTTGCAAGTCGCAAATCGATTGCAAATAATACAAAGCTCTCAATTTATAAGCCATCTCCAGCCCGAGAATTTGCAAATCGGAATAATTGCTCAGGTCGTGAGGATACAGAAACTCTTCCACAGTCTGTTGGCTGTAAGGTTGCATTAGGGTCTTGAAGAGAAGCTCGCTCAGCTCCATGTTCCTGTACAAGAAGTTCAAGCCGCTCACTGAATTGACCAGCTCGTAAATCAAGTCGTGCACGGGGCTGGCGACCACCAGGTTGTTGCAAGTTTTAGGGCCAGTCAAGAGACACAGACAGACTTCCAGAACGCTGTGGATGCTGAAGAACTCGAGCAAAGTGTCGTTGCTACACTCCTTGTTGATCTCGAACTGAGCAGACACGGGCAGGAACCGCTTCGGCTGCGACAGATGGAAGCACTGAGATCGGTACATGTCAATGACTATTTCAAAACAGTTTACTATAAACTCGGTGTCAGCTTCGCTGGTTTCTGCATCCGGCTTCTTGTTGAGATCTGCTACCAAATCGTGAAGTTTTCCCAGCACTTCATATATATTCAGCTTTTTAATGAGGGCGCTTATTGAAAACTTTAGTCTGGCTAGTGGATCGGCTTGCATCATGGATATGAGAGCTCGGTACCCATTTTTGGGTTTTCTCTCCATTTCATTCTTGTCGAATTTGGGGAATAGCTTTTCTTTCATAAAATTATCTATTGAGATTTTTGATGACAAGCACGCGTCTAGCGCCTTGAGGACCATGAGTCGTATACTCAGCGCCATGTACTCCTCAGCGTACAACTGCAGCAGCAACATGGGCAGGTCTATGTCCGCTGCCAGCAGCTCTCTCGTTACGAGCTCGTTATGTCTGTGAGCCACCAGGGCTTCGGCCAGGCGGATGCCGCATTTCATGTGCCTTATCTTGTAAGTGGGCTGCTGTTGAGACAGGGCGTAACCGAAATTCAGACCAATCTTACAAAAAGCAATCAGTGTTTTGTTAATTTCACCGAATTCGTCAGAAGGAGTTGGATCTTGGAAGATTCTAACTACAATATCGGTACTTTTGCAGAGGTTTGTCATTGCGACGTACATCTGTTCGCACTGATGCACCCACTCCTCTCTCATCGTATTATCAATGTCTTTGAACGAATCCGTAAAATATTTCTGGTCAGTTTTCTTTGATATTTCTAAAACTTTGAAGAGGTCAGGACTGACATCACACAAGTCATCGAATTTGGCTGATAGCACGTCTTTTACATCTTCACGTTTGGGCCCTAGATACTGTATTTTGTTAATATATTCATATTTGCACCACTCTGCTTTGAACGGATTGAAATATTTTATTATGTCATCGACACCGACATATTCGTTTACGTCATAATCCACCTCCATGTACGAGGTACTTTCAAGGTCGTCACAAATATCCTCGTCAGACAGAATCGGTTCAAATTGTTCAGCATCGATAGACTTGACTTCGTCAGCGTTGCCGCTCGGGGTTTCTGGTTTTGGAGGATTATCGACTATCGGGACAGTGACAAGGCTTGAATGAGTCTCAACGAAAGGAGCAGCGTGTTCCTGAGAAGGACTCCTTATAGGAGGCTTGTGACGGTAGCTCTGATGGTAGAAGTCTACTCTGGGTATTTGCTTTCCACTTCTCTCATAATCGTCTTCAGATCTGACGGAATGTATAGGACTAGTTGCTTCTCCATCTCGTGGTGAGAGTGGTCGACGACTTTCTCCTGGTGGAGTCCTAGGCCGTTTCCTTGGGTCATCGCGACTTGGCGATCTACTTCCGTAGCTAGAACTTCTAATTCGACCATAAGGAGACAATCGTTTACGTTCGTAAGGTGGCTGCTTTTCGTAAGACGGTGCTCGTCTTTCATAGGAAGCGCCACGCTTGTACGGCGATGATCTTTTATCATAACCTATCTTTCTCTCGTATGACGGTGCTCGCTTGTCGTATGGAGATCGACGTTCGTAAGAACCGGCTTCTTTATCATAAGACGTCCTCTCGTACGACGGTTCGCGGTGGCGCCTGTATTCATCCTTCTTATACGAGGCCCTGTCCCAGTCGCGCTCAGTGGAGTGAGGCCGCACTCTGTCTGGGCTGCGTGATCTGGAGCGACTGCGAGTGCGATACTCGCCCTGCACGATATACTCTCGTTCCCGACTTCTGGTTCTCGACCGATGTCGTTCCATTCTATCATCTCTGTGCCTTGAAGAGTCTCGACTGCGCCGGTCCATTGACCTTCGTCGACCATGTCCTTGCCTATCCCTATCGCGCTCTATAGATCTTGAACTACGTCTCAATCTATCGCCTTCACCTTCACAGTTGATATCTCTATTCTTTTCCCAATCACCTTCCACATGATAAGTCCTAGGATCTTTCGGAGGCTCGTTTTCATAATATTCATTTCGATAAATTGGATTTTCATAATTTTCTGGATACGTATTAGGAGTATAGACATCGGGGTTGGTGCTGGCGACATTACCAGTGTATGATGGTATTGGATTGGTTGGCTCTGGATTCCAGTCAGGTGGTTGTGTCACATTTGCTGATGGCGCATCTCGGTTGACTGCGGGTCTTTGAATAGTGGGAGGGGGATTGATACCAACTGGTGTTTCTGGTAAAATCTGTGTGAGCGTCCCGTAAACAGCAAGAGTGATGGTAGTGTAACATCCTGAAATTATGTAACATTGTGTTAATGAGTGTAAAAGGTAGAAATTGACAATGTTATAAATAATATAAAATATAAAAATAGGCAAGGGTATTACTTCAACTGTAGGTTAATTCATCACCAGCTTATGAAATTGAAAAGAATAACAAAAGTTGTTTGAATGTCATTTCCATCAGAAACTTAAGAGGAAAACAGATTATTTTCAAATTGATATTGTTACGGTTAGAGTAAAACCATCTGACATTGACTAGCAGAAACGAACATCAAAAAAACTAGCAATATCTAGAATGCTCGAATAGTGGAAACCCTTATTGAAACTACTCGCCCTATCAAGAATGTTCTCGATAATTGTAGAGTGTTTGTGTCAAGTATAAAAGCATTGCAGAGATGACATGAAGGCAGTTAGTAATCGGATCTACTCAAAGCGAAACAGCTAATGGATCACCTGAAGCGAAGCAGAAGAAGTATATCACGAATTGTAGTGTTCTAAGTGTTAAATAGAGTTTTAATTTGTACTTTGGTGGAAGTTTTATTTATCTTGAGCCCCAGCATGTAACAATATTAAGAGTCAATGTTCACTTGTAAGGATTACCCTAAGTGGCACCCACAAAGTGCATAGCCATGTCTAGATATGTAACTGTAAGGGGTTTTTTCACATTCCCATTTTAATTACAATAATAATATTCATAGGACAGTCTAGTTTTTACTTTAATTTACACTTCTATTTAGTTTTTTTACACTTTTAATTTATTTAGATCTGTCAGAGATGTCAAAATGTTTCTTTTTTATATTTCCTTTTGAATATGTATTTTACTTTATTAAAATACTATTGAATGTATTGAAATTATGAAGTTAAGCCTATTTTTGTATTGTTTTTGAGTAAAATCACAATTAGGCATTGATGGTGTAATAAAAAATTACTGTGCTGGGCAGTATACATTAACTTCATGAAGATTTTTCATTGCACATCACACAGTGCCTGAAAACAAAGGCTCAACTAGTGAATTGAACCGGTTATGACTCACGGACTCGAACTGTGAATACTCACAGTGCCATAATCCATCAGTTCAAGGTGCACGACGAGCCATGGAAAGAGCTATGTTTGTTCTTTGAATGATAAAATCAGTTGAATTACCTCATTATTCAACAGAGAATTAAATCAACTACATAACTTAGAGAGTCAGTAAGCTGCAGTAGCAGTGAACTGGACATATATGACATGCTGATGATTGCTGGAGTAGAAGGGTTCTTGAGTGGATGGCTTGCAATAGCAAATGTAATGTGAGGCACTCCACAGCTAGGTGGTGAGATTAACTTCAAAGGATGGCCAATTAAAGATAGATGGGAAAAAAACAAAGACAGGGCTTGGTGATGTGGATTAGGAGAGGTGTTTATCCATCAGTGGACAACTGTGGGCTATTGATGATAACAGTGTGTGCTTTTTAAGCAAAATTAGTCAAAGAAGTAAGTTTAGATTTTTCAAGAAATGTGTATTATTTCTCTCCTGTAAATAATTTTGCAAACTAGGTAGTAGGTGCAACAAATGGTTTATCATGACTTCATTAAAAACCCAATATGAAAATAGGCTTAAATTAAACATAAAAAGTAATTCTTCTTACAGCTCGACATCAGAGCTACCCCTGAATAATAGGCTATCATTTATTTAAGATAGACCCTGTATATATCGTTTTGGAAATTTCAATTAAGTATTGTGCAACTGGACATGAAACCAAAAATGCATATTGCTACACAATTGAGAATTTAAATCCATGTGAACAAAAACCCTTTCAACCAAATAAGCTCACTTTGCTCATCTATGGTAATATAATGAAAATCACTAATCATATATTATTACATTTCTGGTGCCAGGTATCAAACCATAAGGAAAATAAAACTGCCTGTTTTCTTACCTTTATGTTTACTTACTTTTATCTACATAATTATATGAACACATTGTTTCGTCAGTCAAGAAGAATTCAGTCCAAATGAACATCTTGAAACAGGTTATAATTACTGACCTCTTAATACAAGGCCATCAGTAGGGATTCTAGGATGGTCCCCATCAGCTCCACACTCCATATGAATCTGTCCATTTTGACAGTAGTCCAAACTACCCAAAGCTTCGAAAGTGGAAGCTCCAGGCTTACTCAGATCATTCACGAAAAAGTCGATATGAAACTTCGTAGGGTTTGTGGCGCCTAACCGAACTCGACCGGGAAAGTCTCCTTCAACTCGGGCACCCAATGGAATAACACGTATTTCTCTTACATAGACAGACTTTGGAAACTGTACTAAATCCAGATTCAATTCCTGTAATAACAAAGCGAAGAATGGTTTTGAAAAACAAGCAAAACATTAAGTCGATTTGATTGATAAATATACTGTTTACCTCGCTTGTGTCGTGTGAGAACGTATCAAAGAATAATAGATCGGGTTTCTCAGAGTTCGTCATTGTATTGTTTCATTTAATATTAGTAATTTGTATTCACATGAATTTACTAATATTTTAGAATTAGAAGCATAGATTCTATAATCTACAGTATCAGTACAGTAGTTTTATTTTTCCAAATGGAAAGGCAAAGGTACCATACCATACTGCCTAATCTTTTATAATATATATATATTTTTATGAAATATTATATTATGAAATAAAATGAAGTTGATTAATAATAATTAAAATAAATAAATAAATATGAAAATGGCATGAAATGAAATGAAATGAGATGACATGGTATGTTAAGGGATATTTTTATGAAAAATGATAATATGGAGTGAAATGATGATGATTAATTTGAGATATTAATCAACTGGGATGAAATTAAAAGAAATAAGATGAGATGATTTGGGATGAAATATTATCTCAGTAAAATGGTGGTCATTTTCGGTCATTTTCGGTTTTCATTGGTCGAATTGTAAGTATCTATCCAAATAAATTAAAATCGGTTATTTTCTCTCATGATATAGATGTATAAGGCGGTTCGGTCATAGACCTTTATTACTTCAATGGGTTATTATTAGTTAACACCGTCAAATTCTGTCAAAGGTTCTTTTTTATTAAAATTATGTATTATCTGAAAAGATATATAGACAAATAAAATCGTGTAACGATTATTTTTGTAACTAATGCTCGTTGAAAAATAAAAGTTTCATTTCTTATCATGACATCAATCTTATATATATTTATGACAAATTAAAAAAGAAAAAGCGGGTAATTTTTGACAAATAACTTTTTAACCTTTATATGGATTTCATCCATAGACCTATATAGATTTCATCAGGTTTCATGAGTATTTTGTATTCTTTAACGATGTTTAAATATCTTTACATGTGTGCATACTTATCTCAAATCAAAACCTAAATGTTTCTATGTTCTAGGTACTTTTCATTAATAGAGGATCTCAGAAAGGCCTTTGTCTTCGCCACTTTGTCTGTTGAAGTTTGGGTATTTTTATTTCAGTGGCTCACGTGCCACTATGTGGAATGTTTTTGGAGTTTATTGGAGTTTACTCCTTTAGAATCGATTTACATATATAGGCCCGGGGTATGAAAATTATGGGGACCAAAATCGTACTAGCATGTCACACGAAATGCGTTATGCGCCTGATTGGCTCCTGATTGCGTGATGCGTGCGCGCGCCAATCAAAATCGTACTAGCATGTCACACGAAATGCGTTATGCGCCTGATTGGCTCCTGATTGCGTGATGCGTGCGCGCGCCAATCAGGAGCCAACGCGCGGCCGCGTTATTGCAGGTGACGCCGGGCTGCTGCGCCGGCAGTCCGCCACAAAGCCTCGTACTGATCGCGCGTTTCTCTCATTATTGTATTTTCATATATTTGTTAGTCGTTTGTTTTGTGTCTCGTTAATTTGTTAATAATCTGTAGTGTATCGTGTTGTCGTAATATAGAACTATTTCTCGTATTGTTTCGTTTAATTTTTTATATCCAGTAAACTCCAGTCGTGCGTCGGAGCGGACACACACACTTTTTTTTTTTTGTTTTAGCGAGTAGATATTTGGATTTGTTCAAAGCTTATCCTCAATATACATACCCATTATGTATGAGATTGGCATAGTTAGAGCAGAGTTGTGCACACGAACGACCGAAATATTATCCTTAACTCCTTTAACCAATACTACAAGCTGTAGTCCAGTTTGAAGGCACCTAGATGTAACATAGATCTGTAACATTCGATATTAGATATCCACTAGATAGATGCACGCTTACATAATGTGTAGCCAATCTTGTATGTCGGGACACACCCTTGGCATACGACATAAACACAAGATTAAATGTCTACGGAACCGCTGTACCACTTCACTATACTTGTCTGCCACAAGTTTGCTCGGTTATTAATATAGTTGTCATTACGGATCCTCCCGATCCATTAACAGTGCTTTTAGGTACCACAAGCACTCGTCACCGTCCTCATCGAACCCGTCGCTTGCAACGAAGGGCTCGACGAGCGAATTAACCCATAGACACAGCCCACTGAGTTTCTCGCCGGATCTTCTCGGTGGGTCGCGTTTCCGATCTGGTGGTAGATTCTGTGAAGCACTGCTCTTGCTAGGGTCAGTGTTAGCATCACTCCGGTTTGAGCCCCGTGAGCTCACCTACTAGTTAAGGTTACGCTGAAATAGCCTCTCAAGGCTATCAGCTTAGGTAGGAAAAAAATAATAGAAACATTGCTGCATTGCAAATAAGTTTTTATTAAAACCGTACCGAAGTAATTTGGTATTTGTGTTTGTAAGAGATTGGGTATTTTAACAACTTTCAATAACGGAGTATGCTTGAAGCACAAGTGACTATTAATATTTTTTATTATCTTTAAAAAATTAAAGATGAATTTGATTGCGATCTTATAGATTTATGATAATTAAACATTTTGGAAATACCAGATTAACAAAGTTTCAGAATTAGCAATACGATACAAGGAAATAACAGCCTTATAAGGAAACTCGGTTTAAGCATAAAAACGAGATATTTTCCTTCATATCTGCAGTGATCACGCTAGCGATAAATGTCTATAAATTTTCGACTTCAATGTTGTGTACGACTGCACTACCGGCATAAGCCAAAGTCCAATAGTGGTCAAGGTTTTATAATTGACAGCTCAGCGATAGCGTGGGGCCACCATCTCGACTGTATCTATCGTAATGTGATCTTGCCTTCCGGGGTAAAGAATACGACCAGATGATAACAATCAGTCAGTTCTCACTCGGTGACAACTGGCTCCCCTCAATAGGACCATCATTATCGCTTTATTGTCCTGCCTATCTGTTTCTTAAGTATTGGTGATAGTTATTAAGAGCCCGAAGCGCGAAGTTGTAATGCCTGGCGTGATAACCGTTGTTCCAATACACTTCTATGGTTCGTCGAGTATTTGACCGTAATTTCAAGGTATGTGGTGACATTAACGTTGTGGTATTTTATGGTACCAATAACCACTTCATATCAGGTGAACCTTGGTCTCCTTGGTCTCTTTATGAGGCTAATAAAATAACTTTCATTGTGCGCCAATGCAGCGGCTAAATTTTTTTCCCTGGTCGAGAAATCTGTGTCGTAGTGGAGAAGATGGCTAGTGTGCTTACATCGATGGGAATATGTTCGTTTTCAAAGGCAGCGACAGTGCTACCGTCGATCATTGACCGTATGTATTTTTCAAAACCGATATGGTTTAAACGAATTGAATGAATAGTTCTTTCTAGAAATATTCTTCACAATATCTAATTCTTACCATTCATGACAATGCGAAGAATACCACATATCGCTTAAGCACCGTAACGATAGGCGGCGGTTTAGCTCAGCCCCTGTGATTGCTGATGTCCATGGGCGACGGTAACCACTCGCCAACAAGTGGGTCGTATGCTCGTTCGCCTATAAGGGCAATAAAAAAAGGTTATAAGTAATACCGTACTCGTATGATGAGGTTTAAATTCAAGATCACCTTTTCTATAAGTCAAGTTTTCGATCGACTTACAACAAACCCCCCTCCTGGCTGAGCCTTTGCTCGCCCACCTGCCCTGGTAAAACTGGAAAGGCCTCCGGGCCAAGTAAATTCTCAAACATAAAAAAAACAACAAACAATAAAGCCCACAAAACTTACAAGTTGCATATCTGTGGAGGGCAGCTCATATTCTTAGCCCATAACGGTAGATACTAACACTTTTTTTAATGCAGCCAAGGTGTAGATTTACAATTTAACTGCATGCACAAAGGTCCCAGCATCACCGATGGCATGGTGCCTATGGGCTCTGGTAATCACTTAACATCGCCATGAGATCGACTGCTGGTTTAAATTATTAAAACAAAAGTTCGTTTCTCATCCACTTAAGTAATAACTAGATAATGACCGAGCTTTGCTAGGTATTTTTTTTTGGATAAAAAACAATTGTTTTTGAGAAAATATATTTTTTAAATACGAATTACATATTGATAAAATAATGAAATATGAATATTTTTCGATCTTACCGACAGAATAATAAAACAATATGAACTGGTTATTTAAAGAAAAAATCAAAATTATCGATAAAGTTGATTATTAAAATCACGAATAAAACAACATTTTCTGAAAATAAATCGTAGCTAGATCGATTTATCGCCCCCCGAATTCCCTGTATGCCAAATTTTATGAAAATCGTTGAGCCGTTTAGAGATTCAGATTATATACATTATACTTATATATTTATATACACGAATTATTGCTCGTTTAAAGATATAAGATATGAATAGACAGGAATGGGAGTCAGTAACAATAATGTTAAATTCATACCAATCCATCCATAATCACATTTAGTTAAACAGATGATTAACGAAGTTAAGATGATGTCAGTTTTTAAAATTTTGTTCGTTTGTTACCTGCGCATTTGCTTTTGCCGCCATGCGGGACCACCTGTGTGAGTCGCGGGGTTGCCGGAGCAAAGCAAACTCCTAGTAATATGCTCTTTAAAAAGCCGGATTATATTTGTAGGCTTGCGAACACAAAAGCAAAAACACAGAACCCAACGCCTTTAAGTTTATTTGCGAATTCTTGATTCAGTGACTAGAAAATAGTTAAATCCTGATTAACCATTTCTTAATATTAACGCTTTTTTTAAAATTCTCGATGTCATAATTTACGTAGACAATGACTGATTAAATGAAATATGATGCTAATGTCAAATATTATATACGAGTATGTGTGTTTCATGGTTATGATAACGCGAAATGGCTGGTTAAACTTAACCGAGTTCGGCTCGAGAGAAGATCAAGGACAAGGACAGCCTTATCAGGCTATATTGTGAATGCTCTGAATCTTTTTGTGTGGGTATCCTAAGGTATCCTTAGCCGGTGCCGTACTAATTGGAAGAATCTATATTTCAGAGTGTAACAGTTCTATCTGTCTCGAGTCTGATTCGAAACTCTTTACTGAGGTTTTCACATACAATTTAATATTGTCTATGGTATTTTAAAACTATAACTGCTTGGCGGGAATAGTTGATAGAATTGTTGAAGAAACTGATAGGGACCTAAAACAGACTTTAAC